ATTAGGATAGTGGTTTTATCTATGAAAATTACTGCATATTATTCTGTACAGCTAGACACTATCTATATCAGCTTCCTGCGAAATTCGTGAGATAATTACATATATTATACAGAAAATTGAATAAAAATGGTTGACTTAACGGAACAAATAAAATTAAACTATTCACTTTTCCGGCAAACCCTATTAATCGAGCTTTTGTTTAGGTTTCCTTTCTACAATTCAAATTTAGGTATTTCAGAAGAGATGTTATAGCTATAACCGTGAAAGTAGCAATTACAAACACATTTTTGCAGAAACTAAAGGAACTTTTCAATAACACATTTCGTTTTTATATAGCAAGAAAGTTCATATTTATTTTTTGTTTGCAGTATCTTCTGTTTATCTTCAAGCAAACTACTAAAGAGCTTATACCGTATATAAAACTCTTGAAAATTGTTGGACGACAATAAGGTTCCCACGTGAAATTATGTGAACATTTCGAATGTACAAATTTGTACAAATGCTTCGAATAGACATAAAACAAGTAACAACAGGAACATTTCTAGTTAGCTTTAATAAATCGCTAAGGTGATGACACCGATTGCTTAATTGTTAATTAGAGCAAAATCAAATGGTCAGATTTGAACCTCTCTTCTAAAGAATGAATTATTTATGCCGGTGCTGGCAGCTGAAAATTAAACATTACGCTTTCATTAAGTTATCAAGTAGCGGAAGAACGATCCTCAACTGAAATCCCTTCAATAAGCTTTGTTTATTCTATCTAATTGCCTTAATAACGTTGTTACTACTATGGAAACCGTAACTGAGATTTGCACACTCTTGGGATTTAACTGGTACCTACTTTTCTCTCATTTTAGACTACTTTTTGTATGGAGAATAATGAAAAGTCGTAATTACCTACACTAAATTTTTTATGACATAAACTGGACTTTGGCGACTCTAATAATAATAATAATACGATTTCCGCAAGAGGTTAGCCAGGATTGTGTTGATTCTATAGCAACGCACACTTGGTTATCTGAATGTGATATCTTCCCGGAGACTGAGGGTTTCATGTTAGCAATACACGACCAGGTCATTAACACACGCAACTATAAAAAACACATACATAAAGACAAAACAGTGGCAAATGATTCTTGTCGACTCTGTTCACAAACATCAGAAACGATCCCACATATAATATCGGCATGCACACGACTTGCACAAACTGAATACAAACATCGACACGATCAGGTAGCTAACATCATACACCAAAAATTAGCACTTAAACATAATCTCATAACAAATAAGACACCATATTACAAATACACTCCACAGATCATACTTGAAAACAACACACACACACAAATTATATTGGGACAGGACACTACTCACAGACAAAACTATCCACATTAATAGATCAGATATTACACTTATAGATAAAACAGAAAAATCCATTTGCGGTAGGTATATATTCCACAGTGTCCAATCCACCTCATTAATACGTAAGGTATTACGAAATGGGGAATACAGGGCGAAACATTGGATAATATAATTCTTTTGGCGGGCAAAATCAACTTTCTGGCTGGTACAAAAATCTGTACCCCCCTCATTTTCAATAAACTGTTGAACTAATTCCTTTGTTGTAAAATAAATGCAAATCCTGTTGTTGCTCATTCTCGAAGCAAAAAGGATATTTTTGGGACCTATGACTGTACCCGTAGCAATTACATACCCTTTAACCGCAAGACCATCGATTGCAGGAAAAATTACTGCTTGATTTTTCTTCGGAATCGCCAATGCAGTGACCACATTGGAAAAATATCGTTAGATACCTGGGTAATTAAATTTTCCTGGGCCCCCCTGTTGTCAGAAGAGCCGGAAGCAGTGGTAGGCAGTACCATTGTTAAATAGACAAATATAATAATATTGTTATATAAAGGAGATAAAGTAACATTGACATAAGGAACACTCACAATAGGAAAATGCAAGGTAAAGGTTTAAATTTAAATATTATTAATTTATTGAATCACTATATCGTCTTTGTGTACAAAACCAATTACCTAGAAATAGAGCAAAAGACCGTCCTTGCAGCTAGATAAAAACCTGCCGAAGGCTGTCAATTGTCCACCAATTCACCAGTGACTTATAAGTACTTAGAAACAAAAAGGAAACCTCGTATTTAAAAACACTTGACTTAAGGAGAGCACACTAACACGACTATACACTTTGGTACAGGGGTAATGTATACAGTGCGTGTGGTTTCTGTAGTAATCCACGCGACATGTGGATTGTGTTTAATGTCTTTGGTCCATAAGTCAAACCAGTATTGCTGGAGTGAGCGTAGAGATGGAATGAGTTTTTCATTAGTGCTGTTTTGTGATCTGTAAAATAGTTTTTCGTTATGTTTAAATTGTGTGTTCTGGCGCTTTCTATCTACAGTTTCCCTCTAGCGTTTTAAACGGTTTGTGTATATTGATAGTTTTTGTGTGAGTTTATGTCTATGTTCGTTATAGTTTGTATTTTGTTCTCGTGTGGTGTGATTGTTTAGTTTTGCGTTTATGTGTTGTACTTGTCGTGTTAGTTTTGAAGAACGAGTTCCTTATATGTATTCTGTAATCCGACCCAAATCACATCTGATGTCATCGATGCGATTTATCAGGCGCTTTCCCCAGGGCGTGGGTGAGCAGTTTTTTGTTGTGTGCTGTTGTTTGTTTATTGTTATTCTTGCACCGTTACATCTAGAAACTGCAACCGCACCGCAATATACAACAAAGTGTAGTTGATGTAAGTTTGTGTTATCGTTAATGTAATTTGGTAAAATGTGGTCATTTAATGTTTGTGAAAGTGTGCGTAATTTTGTAGTATGACTTTGTTTAGGTATTCGTGGTCTTTGTGTTGGATCAGTGTTTGAGAATTCTAACAATGCATTGTCAAATTCTTTTTGAAGGGATGTGAGTGTTTGGTTTGTGTGATTATTTGCATCTATCGATTGCTGACGTGTCGCAAATGTCTGTATTTCAGAGTTGTTTAGAACGGATGTATTATCTTGTACGGCGAGTGTGTTGTTTGTGTTGAGTAGTGCTTCAATTTCGTGCCTGATTTGTTTCTGTGTGTCTAATGTAAGGAGTGTATTTTTAATAATAACTACGTTGGTCTGCAATGCGTTGTTCTGTTAAATGTGCTAAATGTGGGTATTCTTTAACGAAAGCTTGATGTAAATTACCTCTATATGTTGTCTTATTTGTTTCCAACTTCGTGATCTCCAGATACTTACCGAAAATGAATCGATTCATCCCTTCGTCCCATTTCATACGTCTTTTGGAGGTTTCCTTTGCGCTGGTCCCATCTACAAGCGGTTGAGAAGCAGGCACAAAGGTCTCTTCTTGGTGGTCCTCTTGAAGTGGTCGTTGTCGTCTTCGTGGTCTTCTTTCGGCTGTAAAGGTTTCAGGTATCCCGACGAGCGGCCGCCTGTTCACCAACTCGTCACTATCGGCTTGCATGCTGCAACGCCCAGCGATAGCTCCAGACGTGCCCTGACGCTCCTCAGGTAGCGGTATTATTATTATTAACGCTTTGTACTTTGCCTAATAAGCCGTATATTACATTCGAAATTAGAAAAGGACTAACTTCAGAAAAGTCGCCTTCTTTTCTTTTGATCATCAGGAACCGAGGAAATGATTCCACCGTCTCGCTGACTGGATCGCTCTAGGGATCGCTTGTGCTTAACGAAGGAAACTCATCCTCCATTGTAGCTCTTTGGGGTGTCTTCTGGTGTCCGCTGTAATTTTCTGTCGCAATTGTGCCAAAGATGCTACAGCTCAATATGTCCTAAAATTCTATCTAAAATTTCCCTTGAAAATTTCTAATGTTTGATGAGACCCATTTAAAGGAGTATACAGGGTGACAATTTGAAAACTTACCCCCCCCATATGTTAGTAAATAAACGAGATATTTAAAAAAATCAAAATCCGTTTCGGTAATTCGGAGGGGGAATCACAATGACATAGTTGGCGACGCACCCCCTCCAACCCCCTGCGCCCCAGCCACCCCAACTTTTAAATCTTAAATAGTAAACCCCCCCCATGTGTGATACGTCGTTGGAAAGCTCTGAAAAAATGCTTTCCAACCGTAATAGCATTACATTTAGGTTAGTAATTATCGTGCAAATCAAAAAATAAACTAATATGATACATTTTCTAAAGTTGGCTTTTATTTCAATAAATGTTCAAAATGGTTTCCATTCTTGGTAAGACAGTATTACAGTTTTCAAATTGTCACCCTGTATATGGAAATTGTACGTATAAATCTTTGTATTCTTTTAAAATAATCTGTCATTATATTTTGAATTCAAAACCTTCGTTATCAATCGAAATGCGTTGTAAATGAAAAAATTCGGAAGTTTGTCGGTTCACATCGAGCCAGTAAAATACACATGATTAGTTTCTATCATACGATTGACGTTAAACTGTGCGCACCTTTTCTGTTTCACAGTCTCTTGGACTACACAGTCAAGGGACTTCCTTGTGAATTACCACCCAACACTCTAGAGAGATGCAGCAGAATTTAAATTTACACACGCACTTGCATTTATGCATTATTTTTTAATATTTCTTTCTTAGCACCTCTGAATAGCAGTGTTGTACGTTAGGGGTTACTGGTTAGAGGAATTTAATAATGTGTGATATTCATGAAACATTAAATGCGTGTGCGCCATCGTTTTTACATAGTTAATGAATTTACACAAAAGCTAGATACTAATTATACGCTAAGTGAACGAAACGGATTCATAGTTTTTCGAATGAGCTCCACTTTTATTTCTTTGTAAACATGGTGGAATGATAACATTATAAGATTTTTATCAAGACCCGATTGTCCTAGATTCAGGAAAATAGGTGTTATAGTATACCGTATGGTAAATAACTATTTCAAAGGATCGTGTAAGATCGGTTTAGCTCGAGAGCGATGCCGGCGTCCCTTTGCGACGCGTATTCAGTTTCTAGTCGCCTTTCTATCATCAAAGCCGTGTGTAGGTACACTATACGAGTTGATTAAAAAACGCCGAGACGCTTGGAATTGTAATAATAATTGATTAACTGATGGACCATGGTTTGCGTTCAATTTATAGTTGAAAAACCTTAAAATGTGTTATCAATGTTGTTGTTAAACTGCTTGTTTAGACAAATTAACGTTGTAGGATGTAAATTGAAGTGTTTGTGTAAAAATCTGTATATTAGTGTTTTAACACAACTTCTTTTTTGAGGTAAAGTTTCCCACGGCGATCATTTGTTCTCATAACATTTATAAGCAATTTTCATTTATGCCAAAGTACCTTTTTGGTTTCATTTGGGTGACGACTAAAACGCCATTTGCTCGCGATTTTATATTAAGACAGATTTTACATCCCCTTCCAACGAGCTCAATGGTGTGTCTACTGTTTTCTGTACGTATGGGAAAACTTATTTTCAACTCGATAAGAAAGTAATTAAGTTATACAATCTGTATCTTCAGTTTGTTTGCCGTATTATGTATAGGTAGTAGTAAAAGTACCTAAATGAGTTCCAAAGTTTAATTACATATAGAAGGAAAGTGAAAATAGTTTTTTAAACGACTTCTGTTATTCATACTTGCACGCATTTTAAGTTACTAATTTCACATACGAATGCTGATACAATTAACGAAACATAATCAATGTTCAAATGGAATTTCCCATCAGCGCACGTTTACTAAGTCTTGGGGGCGCAATTGCGTAAATTATCTCTAAAGATTTAGTGGTATCGATTACTATTGGGCGAATCCGGATATATTTAGAAACAGCGCGTTTAATAAATAAATTCGGTGCGAAAGTAATAAAATATGAAGAAAGTGTGCGGTAAGACCAGTCACCTTCGTAAAGGGCTTTCCATTTAGCAAAAACACAGAAAACGTCTTATGTTCTTTTAATAGTATGAAAATTTATATTTCTAAAATATGTGGATTATGTTGTCATAAGTTTCCCCCTTAGATGGATGCCGGAATGAAGAGAAAAGGATTTTTTACTTTGGAAGTGTAACTATTTGAGGGTCGATTATATAAGCTTATGAATATTGATTAGTGGCTTAAGGTAACATTGCAAAATTTGTGTAAACTAAAAGTAATACAGGGGATAATTCATTCTGAAATGTTCGAAAACAATATTATATTCTTAGTACCTATATACAATCTAATATACTTACACGCAATTTTGTAATAATAATCGGCATTTGAAAAGTACTTTTGCAAATAGGTAATACCTACCCTTGTGAGAATGAGCATCATATTATATGAACTTGCAGTGCATTTTTAGAGCATTTTCGTTGAATGTCTGCACCCGAATAAGCCATAAGTATTAATACAGAGTCATTTTCAATTGCCTAACAAAGATCACGTGTCTATGAACTTGTAACCACAAATGTATTGAAGTGCAATTTATGATGTTGTGCTACATTCTGCTGCCAATGTGCTGATTGAAATAAAATTTGTGCCGTATGGGTACACTGAAAAAAATGACTTCCTTGTGGTAACAAATTTAGAATTGCTACATGCATATTGTTGCAGCAGCAAAAAGAAATGGTTTTTAGAACTAAATAATTTACTGCTTTAGTTTTCCCAAGTAGTTGCGATTTCCTGGGGTTAATAATGAAACTTTGTTGGAGGATAGCAAACATTTTTTGTTAAGAGCGCCAACGAGCATTTTGCATTGATTCCATGAACATAAAAGTATGCCTTCATAACAAAAAGCAGTTTGCTGAATGCTGATAAACCTAATACCACTGTATTTGTGACAACATACTAAATTCCTTAACTTGAAGGACGAAAATAATATAAAATTTTATTTATAATACTGCAATCATGCAATTCCCAAGTAGTTGACAGGATGTGCTTATCTCACCTTGCCTTGCATGTCCCAGAGTGCCAGCCAGATGTGAGAGGACATCATTACAAAGTACTCTGTGACCCTGTCCAGTGTCATAATTACTAGCTCATTTTTTCATGGTAAGTCGCCAATCTTGTACCTACTGAATTTCGGTTATTTACATTACGAACTTTTAGAATTTTAATGTTTTTTCAATGGCTGAACAAAGTGTAGGTGATATATTGGAACAATGGGGATTCCCGGAACTACTTTTGGTGTTTGAAGGTAAGTGTAACTTTAATCCATAAATTGTTTTGAATTATCTTTTGTTTTCCGGCATTTTCATTTTTAGATTTTTCGAACGACAACTCGAAAAGTGCCGGTCTGATCAGAAACTGGTCGAGGAACTTTTTATTCAGTTTTCTTTGTATAACACCATCCCATAGTCCGTGTGCGCGAATTTCGAAACACGCTGTATATGTAAAAGCTGTTTACATGTAGTGTAGGTAAGTTTTAATCTCGGTTTTAATTTAAGTGTTTTATATTTTGTCTTTGGAGATGTTAATGATAAAAAAGTTTTTCTTTTGTAGTTAGGTAAACAGTAAGTGATTTAATAAATGTGTATTTTTAAAAAAAAGTGATTTGTTTTAATTGACATCACCAAAACGCGTGGACGATGCAGACAGAGCGGAAAATTTATTGTTCCAACCAGGATTCATAGTTAATCCAACTAATCATTTGAGACAATTTATGAGTTTCCAGCATAAATGGTATGCTACTACAACAAAGATAAAAAAGGACAAATTAGGAGGTCCAGCAAATACTCGTTAGTTTATATAACAATACCGCTATGCTGCTGCGACTAAGCATTACTTGTTACAGGGACAAATTTTTTTGCAAGCTTATTTAGTTCCTCAAACAAAAATGGTATGCTTTCTTAACTAACTTGTATAATTTGTCACAAGTAATTGTTTTAGCTACTGGAACAAATTTACTTCCAACAAGTTATGTTGATTTCCTACAGCAAATAATTTTGTTGAGGCTATAGCTACTAAAAAAATTAGTTGGAGTAACTAATTGTTAGTTGCGACAACATTTCTTTTTTTTCAGTGTA